ATACACACACCCAAAGAATTTTCATATTGAAGACATCTTCAAGTTCAACCAGATCTGTCATTTTGAATGTAAAAATCATCTTCTACAACATCAATTTTTCACTAATCAGCTCCAAATTCACTATTCATCACTTGGCTCCTGATCAATCTACACAAGTATCCCACCTTAATTTTCCATGACTCCTCTTTGTTTGGGTAAAGTACACAACACAGCTGATAAAGATTGACTTCTCCTAGATACAAGCAGGACTGTGTCGTATCTCTTAAAATGCAGGGACCAGAAAAAATGTATTGATTGTAGAATACAACCAGCACTGGAAGAATAAGGCTACCACCTCAATATTGACATTTTGTCTTTCTAGTACAACCAAAGATTATAATGGGGTATTCTTTTTTAGAGGGGAGGGGGAATGCAATAAATAATAATGTAATGTAATAAATAAAATACAGAATATTTAATTAGTTATTACAGAATCATGTTTATATCTTCTTTATGCTATGCTCAGTTTTATTTTATTTTTTTTAATTTAATTTTATTTTATTTGAAACATACTGTACAGAGGGGTTACAATTACATGGGCAGGATAATGCATACATTTCTTACCAAGCATTGCAGCCTCCTCCTTTGTTTACCCTTCACCTCCCTTCCCAGCCTCTCTCCTCCTCCCCACCCAATCATACCTCCCCTCCCCCCCCCACACACACCGACATTGTAAAGCTGGTTTTGACATGACATTTTGTACTTTATGCTCAGTTTTATTGATCTGACTTGTTCACTAATACTTGTTCACTAATGGCTGTTTAAACCATGTGGGATAAGTTTACATTCATTTCTTCAACTTCCCATCCTATCAGATTCACTTCCATCTACAGCTGTCAAAAGACAAACCACTCCCAGGTTTATCAAATCCATGACTTGTTCTATATAAACACCATAAATATCATCCAACCATTTGAACAACAGTTGGGGACTCACCTGTATTTTCGTCTATAGCTTACAACATCTGTCTTCTCCCTTTTGTCCCTGATTTCCACAAGTCTGCCCATATCACCAGCAGCCATCAATGATCTTTTCTCAAAAGCCAGGTTAGTAAAATGAGCTGTATCTCTTCTTATAAGAAGTCTTCTTGCCGGGTGCAGGTGGCTCACACCTATAATCCTAGCTATTCAGGAGGCTGATGGTTCAAAGCCAGCCCAGGCAGCAAAGTCCGTGAGACTCTTATCACCAATTAACCACCAGAAAACTGGAAGTGGTGATGTGGCTCAAGTGGTAGAGAGCTAACCTTGAGCTGAAGAAATGAGGGATGGTGCCCAGTCTCAGAGTTCAAGCCTCATGACTGACAAAAAAAAAAAGTCTTCTTGCCCTACCCCAACAACAGGCCTCCTTCTATGTTTTCTATGATTTCTAACTTTGGCTCTCTCATCTAATATATAATCCTCATTTGTCAAAGGCTGACTTGCTCAGTGGTAACTTTTGCTGAAACATCCAATGTTGGTGCTTGACAACAGGATTGTATGCAGTTGACAACCACCAGATAAACAAGAGTGCTTCATCACTAAGACCCCCTTGTTCAGCTAAGGTCTAATTCTTTAAGGCATGGTGCTATCAGGCCTTTCATTTCTTCAAAGGGACTAACAATCTACTATAAAAAATACTGCATCTCTAGGAGCTATATCTTTCTACATAATTCAGTATTATCAAAGGGTTTGCTGAGAACATACACATGAATTATAATTGAGAACTATATAGTGCAATATATTAATAGCTGAAAGGTACAGGGACAAAATCAAGAGAAAAGGCAAAAATATGGAAAAAGAACAGGATTGGCAAAACTAAAAAGGTGGGGCTGCTAGTGACCATAATGATCCAGATCATACACATTTCCTCTCCAATGCGACAACAAAATCCTTTCTCATAGAAAGAGGGTGAAGCTATGTTATCACCAGTCCCCAAACAGTACTCTCTGAAATAACACTGAAGTTCTCTCTTACAGAAGGTGCTTAGAAGTGGATGGACACTTATGGAGGGTTCAGTTCCCCATCTATAATATGAGAATCACAAGACAGATGCCTTAGAGGCTTCATGAGACACAAACAAGAAACTTGAAAGCAATTCTTATATTGTAAAATGACATAAGCAATCCTATGCAAAGCTATAACTGTATGATAACACATGATATGATGATATAAAAATAATGAAAAGTACCTAGAATGCATGTATAAAATGGAACAATGAAGCCTGGTTTAAGCAGGGGAGAGAAGATTAAGGAGAGTGATAGAAGGGGTGAGTCTGATCAGAATTCACTGTATACATATATGATCATGTCAGACTGAAACCTTCATCAAACTGATGGATGCTAATAAGAGGATGGAATAAGTTAAAGAGAGTATTGAGTTAGTGAGCAGAAGAAGATGACATATTTAGAAAAGAGAGTAAGAAAAAGAACTAGAATTTCCTTTCTCCTCAAAGCCACTGAACAGGATTGTGGAAGCACCAATCTAGAAGAGTAGTTCTTATTACAGCATGAGGGTTCTAGAGACCAGGGTAGAGCCTGGTAAATTAGTGGATGATGTACAGCACACCCAAGGCAGAATCTGCTAAAATAGCCTATTACTGTATTCAATGAAGGAATCTCTGGAAATAAAAAAAAAAATTTAAATCAAAATCAATAACAACAAAGACAGACCTCTTGTGTCCATATCTTGGGGTTCATTTCTTATATGGACATATGTACATAGATTTTCAGCTTTTCAGCTCATCTGATAAGATTATCCTATATGCATACTAATTCTTACAAATAAGGGAAGACATAGGTCTTAACTTTCTTTGGGACTGGCTTATTTCACTTAATATGATTTTTTCCAAGTCTTTCCATTTCCTAAAAAATGAGAAAGTGTCATTCTTTCTGAAGGAAGTATAGAATTCCTCTCTCTATATATATATCTATAGATATATATCTATATCTATAGATATATATATATATTTCCCACATTTTCTTGATCCGCTCATCTACTGAGGGGCATATGGGTTGGTTCCATATCTTAGCTATGATGAATAATGCTGCAATAAGCATAGTTGTGCTGGTAGCTTTAGTATGGCCTTGTTTGTGATCGTTTGGGTAAATGCTCCAAAGTGGGATGTATTCCTTGCCTTACTCATGTAACTGTAATACCTCTGTATAGCATCTTTACAATAAAATAAAATAAAATAAACCAAAAGCTGAAAATCAAAAACTAAAACTAAACAATAAACCTTTTCCCTGTGTTAACAATTTTATTTTTTGGTGCCAATCCTGGAACTTGAATTCTAGGCCTGGGTGCTATCCCTGAGCCTTTTCTGCTCGAGGCTGGCATTTTACCACTTTAGCCACAACTCAACTTTCGGCTTTTTGTGGTTAACTGAAGATCAGTCTCATGGAATTGTCTCCCCAGGCTGGCCTTGAACCATGATCCTCAGATCTCAGCCTCCTGAGTAAATAGGACTACAAGAATGTGCCACTGGCACTTGGCTCTAACAAAAATCAGAACTGTCCCATGAGTACTTCACTTAATAGAAGTAGTATAATCTAAACTACAAAGACAAAATGAAAGCATCTTCATTCTTCTATTATTACCAAATAGACAGTCTTCCTTCAGTTTTCTTTTTTTTTTCCTTCAGTTTTCATGGGGGGATTGGTTCCAATCCCTTGTAGATACAAATATTCCTGGATATATATTAAGTTTCCCTAATTCCTTATATAAAATTATATAGTGTCTGCACAACCCTTCCACTCATCCTCAAATATGTAAGTGTATGACTATTCTCTAGCTTACCCATAATGCCTAATACAATGCAAATGAAATGTAATGACAAGAAGAACATCTGCACAAGTTCAGTATAGATATTTTTCCCCAAATATTTTCAATTTGAGGTTGGTTGAATTTATGGTTATGGAAACCCACAAGCACCAAATGCCTGTAGTTTTAAAATTATACAAAAAAAAAAAAAAACATTGACACTGATCTTTTTTTTTTGGGGGGGGGGTCCAGTCATGGGGCCTGAACTCTGGGCTTGGGCGCTGTCCCTCAGCTCTTCAGCTCAAGGCTAGTGCTCTACCACTTGAGCCACAGTGCCACTTCCGGCTTTTTTCTTTTTGCTTATGTGGTACTGAGGAAAGGAAACTCAGGGTCTCATGCATACAAGGTAAGCGCTCTACCACTGAGCCACCTTCCAAGCCCTGACACTGATCTTAATTCATCAAGCTTCATGGAATCTCTGACTCTCAGTACAGCACACAATTCAGTACAAGTACTCTTGATATGTATGGCAAAACAGAACTTTAGGAGCCAGTGTTGTTTGTCTACCTTAATCACAGTTCAGAAACAACCTGGAGACCTGCAACAATTGTTTCCTTCATGTTCTGATTTTCCAGAAACCTTACATTTTACTCTGCATCAACCCTACTTTTTATTAAAACTGTAGAACAAGTTTAGCACAATAAGGACTTCCTAATCTAAGAATGTAAAGACTACACACATTCCACTGATCACTCTCGTTCCAGTTCCATATACTCTTCCAGTCACTGGCCAGCAGCCCTGTATCACCTATCCATTAGTAAAAACACAGCGCTCAAAGCTTATGAGGAAATTTCTTGTTCAAAAACTCCTTGCCCCAGATTATAACCCCATCAACTTTAAAATTAAGACAAAGGGGGAAGCCAAAGAGGGCCTAACTTCTGGGTAGACATAATTCAATAGATAGTTGTTGAGATCTTTAGGGAGCATTCTAGTATGTTACATGGCACCCAAAACAAGGTGTAAATTAAGAACAGAAAAAGAGGTGGAGGTGAGCTAAGAGAGATTATCTACAGGTTTCAAAGTTCATAAACTATTAGCTTACTGTTCTCAGGGACAAGGAAATTTTAATCCACATATAGGTTACTGACAGGGCTGAAGAAACATGAATAATGTTGGCACATGCCCAGAAAGACCATGTTTAGTGGAAGATTTCTTCATACTCACCAGCACACTTTGTCCTTGTCCTGAGAGCTGGTCCAGGAGATCCCGTGCCACCCTCTCCTGGTCTGGTGAGGAGTACACTAATCTCATATTCTGTATCTGGGTCAAGGTGCCCAATTTTGTAACTGGTGGAATCCACTGGCTGCCGGTCATTCCAGCTCCCACTCGCTGTGCAGTATTCCACCTCTCGGGCCACAATGGGCCCATCCCCATTGATGGAGTTGGCATTGAGCTGTATCCATAAGTAGGTTGCTCCTACAGAAGCAAGCTGAGGTGGGGCAATGGGAACTGGTGGTTCTGAAAGTAAATCAGAGAAAAAAAAAGGTAAATGATTATAAGGTAAACAACATTAAAATATAAAGAATAAACTAATGAGAATGCTTTCTATCAGCTTAATAAGAATAAGCACAGTTGCTGACTGCTAGACACATGATCCAACAATCTATCTCCTAGATATATATCCAAAGGAAATGAAATCATGATGGCAAAAACACAGTTGATACAACTGGATGCCAGTGGTTCATGCTTACAATCTAGCTACTCAGGAGGCTGAGATCTGAAGATCACAGTTCTGAGCAGAAAAACTTGTGAGGCTCCTATCTCCAATTAATGACCAAAAAGTTCGAAATGGAGGTGTGGTTTAAGTGGTAGAATGCTAGCCTTTAGCAAAAAAAGTCATGTTAGAGTAAAAAGCTCTGAGTTCACACCCTAAAACCCACATGTATGTGTACCTGCGTGCGCACACACATGTGCACTCAATACACAATCACAGTGCACAATAATTTCACAGAATTCACAATTGTAAAAATAAATTGCCTTTAAAAACCTAACCTGAGCTGGGAAAATTTAGTCTCACCTACCTAGGAGGTTGAAATGGATTACTGGAGCCTATAAGAAATGTGCAACACAGAAAGACTAAGTCTCAAAACAAACAAATAAACAAGAACCACAACATCGCTTATTTAAGAAGATATTCCCCTAATCGCTGTAAGACCCAACACATTTTACTCGGCTACACAGGCTGGTGACTTACCAAGAAGTCATCAGTGAAAGCTGTCATGGTGGTGGTATTTAAACAGTGGCAAGCCATCACACTCCTTATTGAGAATCTTTTTAAAATCAAAGGTACTAGAATTTTCTGTATATCGTTGAGTTTTCTTATGTTTATACCCTAAAGATACTTTTAAAAAATATTACTGAAATTATAGCTTATCTCAGCATAAAGGTATTCTTGAGATGACTCAAAAAAAAAGCACAAAAAAACCCTATGACAATAGGCTCATCTATCTGGAGGAGAACTGAACATTCTGGATAATAAAGTCTGCTACTGTTAATGTTCAGTGGACCTCTAGTAATGAGTCTTATTAAAGGTTTGAATAGAAAGAAAAGCTCTGAATCAAAGAACATACTATGCTCAGCTGGAAAATGTCTAAGAAATCAATAGCAAATTCTCTCTACAACCCAAGAAAGTATCTCTCACTATTCATAACCTGTGACTGACTCTTTCCATATCACTGACTGAGAAGGCAGAGAAGGCCCTGGCCCTTCTAATTGTAAGTCCTTTTCCCACTCAATCAGTTAGATGCTAGTTGAATGGCCCTCCCGGCATCAAATAAAGATTAACTACATGCCAGTGTCCTTGTTAATGGTCCCCTACATGAAAAACGAAGTCATTCTACAAAGTCACATGTTTATGTTTCAATGAGTCATCACATAAGAAAAACATGAATCTGTTGGTTTTTCTCCAAAGTGTTTTCACAGGTAGTTTGTGTCTTTTGAGGAGTGTTTTTGTTTTTTTTCATTTTGCTTCTTCAGATTCATGGAAAATAAAGCCTGCTCCAATCTATTACTGGCATATGAGTTGCTTGGGGCAACTCTTCTTTTTCCCAGAGAAGAAAGACATGGCCAATACAGCACAACCTTGTTTCCTGCTAACAAGACCTTAGGAAAGCTATTACCATCTGAGGCCTGCACCTAAGATGCTATCAGACATTTCCCAGACTAGCTAAGTAACTAGCAACATCCATTCTTTTGTTGGGTTGGGATATCTTTGTTCTTTTTTATGTTTAGTTGTGCTAAATTACATTGAATATGAAATAGCTCATTAGAATAAGTCAAAAATAAGACATTAAATTTTTAATGGATTTCTTTTAAGGGATATAAATGTGATCTGAATGTACTAAACTATTGTTTCTATTGTTAAAGTTCGTGCTGTAAGTAGTTCTGATTTAACTTACAATGATTTAACATTAATTTCTATCATTAGGAATTTCTTGAATCAGGACAAGAACCAGGACTTTTACGAAGGCATTTGCATAGCCATAAGGTGAAAAAGCCTTTAATTGCTTTCAAGATACAAATGAGAAGAGTTATTAAGTGCTATTCAAAACTAAGCAGCAAGGTCACAATGGGTCAAGTGTTTGCATTTTACTCCTCAGTTAGGACATTTTTACTTAGCATCCTAAAAAGACTTGACTTCATTGTACTTTTTGTCAGAGGAGTATTTTCTATGTGTATTCCCCATGGAGAAAAGAACCTCAAAATCTAAATCAAATGATTCAGCAATAATCTGGAAACAACTTGAACAGACATTCAAAAGGATTTTTGGTTAATCAACGAAAGAATCAACAAGAAAAAAAAAGTAAGTCAATATTTAAATTTTTGCAATGAGTCATTCTGTGTCCTTGTTTCAACGTTTTGTTATTCCCTTTCCCCTTCCCAGATTAGACAAATGTATACACAAGATGCAGGGTACCACAATCAAGTACAGAGACAACAGGGCTATACCATAGGGGGAAGAACATACAGGAAACAAAAAAAAAATCACATAGTACATTTAAAACAATTACAACAAAAACAGACCTCTTGTGTCCATATCTTGGGGTTCATTTCACTTAGCATCAATGATATGCACAGGACAGTACACTGGAAATGAACTTTACGGGTGGGGGGTTGGGCTGGGGTGGGAAAGAGTGTGGGAGGTGGGAGGTGGGAGGGAAGGGATAGTGGGACAACAACAATGGAAGGGGTAACAATGATCCACAAGTAATACACTAATTGCCTTACTCATGTGACTATAACCCCTCTGTACAGCATCTTTACAATAAAATAAAAAAATTTAAAAGTATTTTTATGACAAAAAATATTTAAATTTTGAACAGAATGTCACAGGAGGAGGGCAGGAAGAGTGGCTGAAAAGAATAATACCAATGCAAAATAGGATCTCATGTTTGTTTTTTAGCTATTTGGGATTTAACTCGGGGCCTCATACTTGTATAAGCAGTCATGAACTCAGACATTTTGTTTTTCTTCGTTTTTTAGATAAGGTCTCATGCTATCTTTGTTCAAGAAGCTAGCACTGTGATTCTCTTTGCTTAGATCTACCACCAGAGTAGCTAGGATTCTGGACCTGTTGCCACCAGCTATCAAAAATGAGAACATTCACACATATATACAAACATATATAGACCAATCTTTAAGTAGATGGTAATGGCTGATACATACATATAGATCATCATCACATTTCAGTATATGGAATTTGAACACATGAAATATTTTACAGAAGTAAAGGTTGATGTTAACACACACAAGCATATTTACATGCATTGTAGAAATATTTGTACGCTCTTGTCTTTTGGGGAGTGGACATCAAATCAGCATGTGATCTTAACAAAATTATAGGCTCCATGGAATTTAGCTTTTTCCATTTATAAAATAGGAGCAGTACAAATATTACATGGCATATTAAAAACTGCTACATATACACAGGAGGCCTAAAAATGTTACTGTATACCTTAAGTTATTGCCTTAAAGAAATAATTCCATTCAACTCCAGTATGTTGTCACATTTTGCAAAAATGAAACATATATAAAAATCAGATGTAACAATTATAAATGAAGAAAAAAACAAAGTTCACATCTCACCCCTATTTGCATGCCAGCAATAGGGAAGATAAGCAAGGGCAGTAAGTGTTTATCAAGGAGCTAGAGAAATACTATGCTGTCCTAAGACAGGAAAATGTGCTGCACAAACATAACCAAGAATTTTGTTCTGGAAGACTAGAAATTTCTAGTTTGCTTATATATTAACACTTTTTTAGTGTGAAAATACTGTACAGAGGGATTACAATTACATGAGCAAGATGATGAGTACATTTCTTATCAAGCATTGTAGCCTCCTCCTTTATAACGACTTGTACATCTCATTGTTGCAATGGGTCCATCTGTATCCCTATTTAAACAATTTGTTTTTCCCCTTCCCCTCCACAAATTATACCGACATCAAATACAGTGAAAGCAGGGGTTATACTGTGGGGGAGGGACATACAAAGCAACGAAGAAATAATCTTATATAAATTAACATTTTTAAGGTGGTATTTTTGTTAATTTATTTATTAGTGGTCCTGGAATTCAGGACTTTGTACGTGGTAGGCAGCCATTCTACTAGAAATCCCAAAAACTTTTTGGAGGAAGCCTGGGCTGTCCTAGAACTGAAATTCTCTGTGTCTTGGCTGGAATGAAGGTATATGGCACAATGCTGAGCTATGGACTGAGATGGGGTTCATGTGCAATCCTCTCGAGATCAATGTTCTGAGTTACCAGAGTTCAGGCAGGAGAACTGTGTCCAGCTCAAAGAGGTAATTTTTTAAAAAGAAACTATTACAATTGTATCAAATCTTTAGGTAGGCAAACTAGTTCCAAGTTTCACAAAAGACAAAACACCTAGGAATCTAATGTGACAAAACCAATGATTCAAATACATATTTTAATGCACACTTCCCTACACTGACATTCATCATGCTGTAGTGAATATTTTTCAAGGGAAACCCACCACAAACTAATATTGTGTATCCTAAGTTGTATGTAACTATGCAGTGATCTTGTGCCAGAGCAAATGCCAAACCAGCTATAGCTTTCATAATATAAGCTGTGTCTTGGAGCTTCTCAGTGTGGTTGTGGCAGAAAAATGGAGAAACAATAGTGAAAAAAAGCATTTATTTATTCTTTCTCTATTGAACTCTTTTCAAATTTATTCTAGTGAACAGATGAAAATCACTTAAATAGCCAATAATGAGAAAATGTTGAAGTGAATTATAGTGAATTTACTTGACAAAATCAGAAAGACAACACAGCTATATGGGAAAATTCATATGAATCAGAAACAAATGAGGATATTAAAACTATGTACACTATCATCATAATTGATGAACAGCCATAAAAACATTCAGAAGAAAATTCAATAAAATAATGATGATTCTCTTATTATCGTCAATTGAACATTTTTTAAAAAGTATTTTTAATATTTTTTTAATTCAGAAAGGTAGCTCTCATTCTCAGATATTAACCACAGAGCTCTTTACCAAGTCAGATAGTAAAACACATCTCTCCCTCCTTTGCTTTGTGGCCCTTTGTGGTATGCTTATTTTGCATACCATTTTAACTGCCACAGGTGTGCTTTCCACAAGTGACTCCTCTGACAGTCCTATTATTATTATTTCTCTTTTACTATAAACAAGAGAATAGATGCACAGAGAGCAAGCCCCTACCCTGTGCCCTCAAAGATTATTCAGTCATTTGAACCCAACGTTCTTCCTGAAAAGAGGAATTTGCTGGTGAAAAGAAGAGTCCATCTTAAGATGAGCAATCTCACCATTTCTATATTTAACTAATACAAAAGGAAAACTTAAAAATAAAGCACAGATATGGGTGGTGGGGCAGCTCAGTAGTAACAAATGTGTAAAGCTCTGGCTTTCATCCTCAGTGTGTGTATGCGCGCACACACACACACACACACACACACACACACACACACACACACACACACTAAGGCACTGTTCTGCTCTCTTAAAAGAAACAGGAATGATCTGCCACCATTGCCTTAAATGGCTTCATGGTACATCTGTAAGTCTCAATTATTCTATTTGGGACCCAAAATTGCCCAAGATGTTTGATAATAAAACCGTCTGCCCATTATAAAAAGCATTAAACCAGCTAAACGAAACTTGTTTCCCCTCTCTCTTTTCCCTCATCTTCCACCTCCTTGAATATAATGACTCAATTTGCCAGTCAGGCAAAATATAGTAATAGAACCTAACTGGGACATTATGAATGTTGAGACAGTATTATCAATATGGCTGATATGATATAACGGAACATTTTTATACTGACACTGTTTCATTTTATTAACCACCCTGCTATCATATAAACACCCTAGCCACTGAATATTTGCATTTTAAGTGATTTTCTATCAGTAAGAAATTTTTCATTCCTTAAAAAAATTTATAGCTTTTAATCTCTATATATAGAGCTGGCAGAAGACCTTGCCAAGAGCACATTCATTGCTTTATATGCAACTAAACCAACATAAATAACATGCATTTTTCAAAAATAGTGCTCACATGCAAAATTTGTACTTAAAATGCAATCCATCAGTGTAGCCTATCATCAAACTACTGTGCTGAAACAGACAAGAATAAGCTTGAGCTTTAAACAAATAATAAACTAACCACCATCTAACATATCTATTTTCATAGACTATTTGGGGATATAAAAAAAACACATTAAATACCTTTAACTACCAATTCTGCATAGTTTGATATCCCAACACCTCCTTCTGTGCGAATCATGCAGCGGTACTTCCCAGCATCTCGTTTAGTGGTATTCACCACATTAAATGAAGCTATGAATCTTCTGGAACTAGTCACCTTTATTTCCTTCAGTGGAGCATCTTGGACATCAATGCCCTATATCAACGGGATGGTGAAGACAAAAAAAGATGCAATATCAACTGTCATATCAAAACAGTAGGACACATGATGATGCATTATCAGTGCCACGCTTGTCCAGTTTGTTTGGCTGTTCATGGCCCCAGGAAAGTTGTTTTATGAGAACAGCTGGCCAAGAATTATAATTTTGCCCAGCATAACACTTCCAAGATTGAGGGATGCAAAACTGAGTGTGCAGAAACGTCTTGCTTTTATCCTTCCAAGATATTAATCATGCTAAATTAGTTTAACAGCAGAAGAGAGAAATTAAGTATATAGAAAAAGCCTTTACTTTGCTCCCTACCAATGTCTGGTCTTTTCATAATATTTCTTTTGGTAGTTCATGGGGCTTGAACTCTGGACCTGGACTCTGTCCCTCAGCTTTTCAGTTTAAGGCGAGTGTTCTACCACTTGAGCCACGTCAGGCTTTCTGGTTGTTTATTGGAGATAAGAGTCTCATGGACTTTTCCTGCCCAGGCTGGCTTTGAACCGTGATCCTCAGATCTCAGCCTCCTGAGTAGCTAGGATTACAGGTGTGAGCCACCCGCATCTGGCTTCATAATATTTTGTCTTACATTTTGTATGCATGGATAGGAAACAAGATTAAGTCACCTACTGCTCTATTACTGATCTCAATTTATATGTGAAGAAATAAACGATTTGTCAAAAATAACACTAAGGCCAATGTTGTGGCCCAAGTCTCTAATACTAGCTACTGGGGAGATGAAGCTGTGGGATCAGTTTGAGGACAGTCAAGAAATAAAAGTTCATAAGAGCAGTGTGAGTGGCTCAGGCCTGCAACACTAAATATTCAGAAGGCTGAGATCTGAGGACTGATGTTCAGAGCCACCCCAGGCAGACAAATCTATAAGCCTATTATTTCAACTAAACAGCAAAAAGCTAGAACTGGTGGTATGGTTTAAGTGGTACAGCACCAGCCATGCAAAAAGTAGTTGAGTGAGAGAGAATGTGAGGCTTTGAGTCCAAACTCCAGCACCAACGTAAGCATGCATGCAAAAGCATACACACATGCATACACATACACAAAACATTCATGAGACTATCCCAACCAATGACAGTAATGGTGGCACAACTCGTTATCCCAGCAACAGGGGAAACACACTAACTGCTTGCAGTGGTGAATATCTGTCATCCTTTCATACAGGGAAGCAAACAGGATCACAATCCAGCTCATCTGGGCATAAAACAAAATCCTATCTTAAAAAATAATACACAACAGGCTGATGAAGTGGATCAATTGATACCGTGTTTGCCCACCAAGCACAAACTCTAAGTTCAACCCAAAGCTTCAAAAAGCAAACAAACAAACAAAAAACAGCAAAATCTACATTGAGATTACTATATTCCTAAAGACTAGATGTGGAGGACTAATCTAAACTTTATGATGTTCTTCTCTGATGTACAAAAAGAAAACAGAAATTAATGTTCAATAAATACTACCTGGTGCTGAAATGTAACAGGAGAGCATTTCCCAGTACCACCTAAAGTTGATCCCAGTGCTAGAATGTTTTTTTATCTTTTCTTATCTCTGAACTCTTACAGTTACTCATATCTCGAAACCCATGCTATGTTTGCAAGAGTTTAAAGCCACAAAAGAAGGCTACAGATGCCAGCTCTCTACATATTTTGCATTTAGTTGGAGAGGAGTTATGTATAACATGTTACTTGCATTTTAGGAGTAAACAATAGAGATCAAAGCTAATAAATGTCATTAAACACTACCGCCTATTATTCAGTCCGCAATCAGTTTCTGGGCATCATCTGTGGGTCTAGACACTAGGTTTCACAAGGGGGAACAAAAGGTGAATAGTTGTGGCATTTCCAGGTGTCATCTGGGGAATGCAAGCTTGAAATGAACACACAGCCACCAATGATAGCCTGTATGGGGAAGGGGAAGATAGGTGGCTGGCAGAAGTCATACAGTGGACCTTATTGCTACAATGGGCATGGAAAGCTAGTTTGGATAAGTAACATATGAAGTGAGATTTGAAGGGTCAAGTGAAGCTAACCAGACAAAGGGGAAGGGAGGGAAAGGGCATTCTAGCCACAGGAAACAGTACAGGAGTCCCACGATGTTTAGAAAGTACTGGATACAGTAAAGTTAGTAAGAGGAATTGGAAGAGGTGGACAAACCCCTGTGAATTCAGGCTGTGTTGAAATGCTTTTTATTTATAACTACAACAATGCCAGGCTACAAAAGAACAAAGAGCATCTACACTTTTCAGTGCTCTATATTATGCTAAGTCCTTTAAAAGCTTTTATCTGTAGTATTTTTATTCACAGCAGGTCCTTAAGGACTGGGGTTTAGGAGTTAGCCTGATCAGGGTGCCAAATCAAACTTGATTTTTTAAGTGATTTACTTTCATAGGACCCTGCTTTCTTCATCTGAAAGAAGTGACTTTCAGAGCTGTTGTAAAAAATCAAAGATATTTGCAAGGACACTGGCATAACTGAGTGGCCCCACAAATCCCTACAGAGCTTTAGATGAAATGAACAATGAGTTCCAGGAAAAAGGCAGACAGGCTTTCAAACTATCACTTTTATTACCGACATGCCAAAAGACATTAACCTCTGGCTGAGGTGAGCAGAAACAATGGGTTTGTTAATACTGAAGCACAGAATTAAACAGACTCACCCACTAGTCACAAGCGGCATTAGAAAACCACAAAGGCCCTTCATATGTTTAGATGTTGCTGTAAAACTCACAGGATGGAAGAATAGGGCTTTCATAGGCAGTTAGCTCCCTGAAGAAGGGGCTGAGCTAGTCACGATTTACACTTCCTCCCAGGCAGTTCCTGCTTGGGCAGGGAGAAAACAGGCAGAAGTGTTCCTCTACTACAGTTCCTGCCACATGTAAGGAAACATTAGAAGTGGGGAACCAAAGTTCCACTTACATTATCCTTAGCATTAAGTGTAAAGAAATATTTATAGCTTAAAAAGCCATAAATCATAATATGAAGTCCTATACACATCTTATGTAAGTGTGAGTTTTACTAAATTCCAGAAATTAGATCTAACAGCACCAAGTTAAAAAAAAAAAATAACAATATTAGCTAATAGAAAGCTAATAGAAAGTTAAAAAAAAAACCAATAACAATATTAGCTAATAGAAAGCATTCCTCTCTGCATTCCATAATCCAATTTCTAATTCTCTCTCTCTAAATAACCAAATACTGTCATGTAGTCTGACATTTACTTTTCTACAAAATTAAGTATTTCCTCAAACTGAAAAAAAAAACACCTCTATTCTCCGATTGCCGAGGGGGTAAAATACTGAACCCTGAAGAAAGGCATATTGCATACTGATAAGTTTTTGTTTTGTTTCTTAATGGCAACAACAAAGGAGTAAGGGGACCATCTAATGTTTTTATTTACCTAATTGTAGCATTAATCCTGTAAGAATAGACTTTTAAGACAATCATATAATATTTTCTAATAGATGCATGTGCCAAAATAATTTTCAAGTATGCACTGCAGATCTCTTATAATAAGTCAAGTCTATGCTGAGCAAACCTCCCTTTTTGATTCATGCATACATTGGAGAAGCAGTACAAGGGAGCTGCTCTGTCACATCACAAACTTCCTATGAAATACATAACCTCAGAAGAACAAGGTACGAAACCCAAATTTATCAAACAAACTCTCTAGAAGGAGCTTTTCTTTTTTTTTGAGACATAATAGAAAAAAATGACAGAAAAGGAACAGATATAAAGGAAAGGGAACTATAATTTAGGATACTTACTATTTTACTTTTAAGCATATTATATTGAGTATAATCGGTTTCCTCTAGGAAACCACAAGGTATTCAGGTCATGGGCTTAATTTTCCATACTTAATTAACCAGGTACACTACATAGATGCCCAAAGAACTTCTTGATGTTGACAAAGGAAGCCTCAGTGGAAAAGAATAAATATGTGTGTATGTATATATATATATATATATGCATATTTATGTATGTTTGCATGTATGTTTTGTGTTCTTTGTTTTGTTGTGCTAAAATAAAACCCAAGCAAAAACTTCCCCACTAATCTACACAAGTTTAACCTTATTCTAATTCTTTAAAATGGACAATACATACATTTTTGAGTTTGTGGGCATGCACCAGTCAGCAACTTTGCTCAAACTCATCATAATTGTTCCAGAAAATAGGCCCCAAAGATGTCTATACTCTCGTCTTTAAAACCTGTGACTATTACCTTCCATGAAATATATATACAGAGAGAGATGTGAACCTGGGGATGGGAAGATTATAATGCACTACTTGGGTGACCAGCATCACAAGGGGCCTTAAAGAGGGAAGACAGGACAATCAAATATGGAAGGAGGAGATGTAATGACAGAAGCACAAATAGAGTGATGCTCACAGAAGATGCCATAAGGGACCAAGGGCCAAGAAATAAAGGAAGAAGCTAGAAAAGGAAAGGAACAGATCTTCCCCCTAGAACTCCTTGCTGTCCCCTTATCTAAGTCTTGTGAGTTCCAGAAGTTAATGAAGCTGCTAATTTGGAGTAATTTGTTACAGCAGCAATTTGACAATAATATAACCATCTGACTAATGAAAGACCTATGACTTTTGAAGGTGTGCAGTCACCATATATTCTAATTTGTCAGAACTACATAACAATTATTTAAGGTTGTATTGGAACCTTATTCACTAGCAAGAATTCAATTCAAAAGCTTCTACTGCAACCAAATCTAAAGAACAAAGTAGGAGAACTCACACTTTTCAATTTCAAAATTTAGTAAAAAGCAACAGTAATAAAAGGAAGTACAGCATTGACACAAGGCTGGATATAAATCAATGGAATAGTTTTTTTGTAGAATGAAATTATTCTATTAGACAGTACTTTTAAGTCAAATAAATAGTAATTTCCCTATTGTATTTTGAGCAACTATACTGACCCCGTCTACACAACAAGGATATTCCTTGAAATTCTATTTTCTGTAGCTATCATTA